CCCCAAAACCCCAAAACCCCAAAACCCCAAAACCCCAAAACCCCATAAAGCTAAATGCAATAATTATAGCAATAATCAATAATAAATTTATAATTTAAAGATGATGTATTGCAAGCATCTATTAAGAAGAGGTTTTGCTACTCAAGGTAATTTATTTATGCACTTATACTGATTCCTAGTCTCACATAAGTTCCCCGAGAATACTGTTGCAGGTCTTTACAAATTAGCAGTAGCCAACAATCAATACTATGATGCTGTTAGATTTGGAAACCAGAGAATTAACTGGACTCTCAGAGAGATGGATGTAATAGAACTTTATCTTAAATATTGATTTAGAGATACTCATCAGCCTTTGCATTCGGTTTGTTAGAAAGTGGGTATTAGAGAGGAGATAAGCTCGTTCTATGGGCTGATTAAACTAACTCTGCTGAACTTCTAGTTGCTTAAGTAATAATTTGACTTATTATTATATTGATAGCTTGGAGCATTGAAAGCAGGAGTTGCAGTAGTTGTTTTTGACGAGAAAGATAGTCAAGATGCTCTACACTACACTCTTAATGATTCAGATGCTAGAGGTATTTTATTCTCACCTTCAACAGAGATTGCTCACTCATCAAATGGAGAGCATGTTACCAGAAAGACATTCTTGCAGAAATTAATGCCAGAGTTGCACAATCTCTATCCAGGAGATGAAATTGCACTCAAGAGTTATCCACACCTAAAGCAAATCATCTAATTAGGCCATCACACCATAAGAGGAGTCATCAAGTTTAAGGATTCAATGGTATATGCAAGTCCCAGTCTCTCAACTGTTTAAATTCCAGATAACAGAGCAGATGACTAAGCTTTTGTTTCTTATCAAAATGGAAAGAGAGTCTCTTCATTAACAAATGGAGAAATTACTTAGCATGCTCAATCACTTTGGGAAAATCACTACAGCCAGCATGCTGATTCTAACCCAGTATTCATGAGTTTAAATCTTGAAACTCCACTTGCTCTTGCATCTTTCATTGCTAACAACTCAAATTTGCAGAAAGTTTATATTCCATCATCATTCAACGTCAATAAAATCATCGAGAACATTAAAGTTCAAGGTTCTCACACATTAGTCTGTGATGCTGATCTTTACACTCTTGAACCTCCTCAAAGCAGAAAAGCTGAATTCGAGGGTTACACTTAAACTATCAAGAGAAGCGTTATCGCATCAAATGATGGGAATTCTGTAGGCAAAAGTTCATTATATAAAGGTGACACTGTTGTCTTAGATCCCTATAGATTGTGAACTTGAAACAAGATCAATTCATGTTAGAAAGGGTCTTTATATTCATTTATTTAAACATCCTCTTTTCAATTAAACTAGATTATTATTGGGCTGCGGGGTTTTGGGGTTTTGGGG